AAGCAATCCCTTTGTTATCTGATTATTGTAATAAACACGATATTAAACTAAATAAACCGATTAATCAGACATGTAGTACATTAAGCTTGACATCACTGTGTTTTGATTTGGCATTAGCGATATCACCGAATGCTAGTATCCAACCGATTCAATGCTCTTCAGATACAGTTGGTGAAGAGTTGGCACAATATGTAAGTGTTCGTACTTTATTCCTGTGCAATGTTTTCCAACTTTAGTCAAAGCACTTATATTTTAGTAAGAATTAAAATCAGCCAGCAAAATATTTGGTGCTCATGAATGAAGAAATTTCTCAGATTCCGAAAACTCCTTGTACACCTAAATCACATGTTGGTTTCGCTCTCATCCTATGTTTTATTGGTTCTCAAATATGGCAACCCAATCTCCCTATTTTTAGAAAACTTTGGGGATTTTCCCTAGACCTGGAGAAATTTTTGGGTTTTTTTGCCATTTCCCCAAAATAGGGAGATTGGGAAAATGCATTAGTTGACTAATATTTAACCTCTAAGTAATTATTTATCCATTGTCTTATTTCGTACATATTAGATGAACATGGAAATTTAGTTAATAGTAATCATTCATGTACTTGTATATGACGTCTTACAGAACCATTATCTAGCTATGTCATACGTCACTGTTAGTTTAGTTGATAAGTGTGAGCCTTCTATAAGGAGATCCTCAAAGTAGCATAAATCAATAATTGGAAACTTTATGTGATGTCTCTCGGTCGACCGCAGCGGCGTAACCACACTCACAGTCTGTTTGAACACTTAACTCTGTGTCTGCTTTTCATTCCTTTCAATATCCTTCCGTTCCAGTTGATCTCTTTTCCCTATGATGATGTAAAGCGTGCCAACCTGGTTCAGTATTCCCGTGCGCAGCTTTATATGTTAGTGTTTTAAAAGGCGACGGAGAGAAGCACTTAAGTTGTCTCGATCCAATTAATGCTAGGTTTAATGAAATAATACATTGCTACGGTGTCACTGACATTTATTCGTCCACTATGAAACTCCAGATGTTAAGAAAACATTACCACCACTGTCAATCATAGAATATGCTCGTATCGTTTGACCCACTGATTTGAAATCAGAGTTGTCTGCATTCAGAGAAAGGTTGTCCACAGCAATATCAAATTAGCATAGTCCTACACAGGTCATTGTCAACTAATAATCAGATTCCTACTACAACTTTTAGTTGATGTAACCTAGGAAATACGGTGAAATTTAAGAAGCACAGGGAAGTATCTAGTTCTTGATGAAGCCATTTATATAAAGTGTTATGTCGTATTTCAACAATTGCAGACTAATAATAAACCCTTGAGTTTTGTCGGTTTTCTTACTTGAACAGTGTACTGTCTCAGCATTTCTTGTGTGGAATATGCTTTACCGTAACTAGTATAGTAAAACTGCTGTTTCACTGTCATTTCTCTTTTCTTACATATGTGGTCCCTCTAGCTTCGTGTATTTTGTGTTTATTTAGTCTAGTTATTAAGATGTTAATCAGTAGTAAAATGATGGCATAGATCTAATTTCTTGGTCATCAGTTCCAACCCTAATGACTCTGGAAGCTTAAATGAGTGACGATGTTTTGAAAAAGTTAAGATAAAACCTGCGACAAAACAAAAGTCTGGTAGTTTAAATGTGATAAAGTACAGGAAATTGCATTCGACAGGTCAAAACTGATTCAGAGATAATCACACTGATCATTTGTGAGGTATCTTGTCAGTCAAGCATCGTTTTTGTATGCTAATTTAGACGCCTTTCTTAAGTTTACAAAGAAAATCAGCCTTAGATTTCTCAACTGCAGTACACTAGCAAACAGGTGGTGGTTACCGTAAATTATTTCGTTACAACTGATACTGACGGACTACTCAACAAGCAGTAACCCAAATATTCTCTTATTTAAAGCTGATTGAAAACTCCAGCGCAACTCATTGATATGACAGTAACAAACAAGCATCTAGTCTGATTGAGAGTTGGAAAGAACACTTGAAAATAAGTGCCATACACATAGTCTCCAGCTTTGTATCACTTAGATTTTCAATTTACTGAAACAAAGTTTGGTTGATAATTATGTATAGTATTTTGATGTTCCTTTTTATAGGTTCTGACAAGAGACAATAATAAGAATATTCTTAAATACGATCGTATGTTTCCCACCACATCAACTGCATTTGATGCTTCAACAACTGCCCTGTCTACAATACCTCCTCTGGAAACAACTGAAACTGATGATTTACTTTTGAAAACACTTGAATTATTTCAGTCTACTGGAAAACGAAAGCATAATCTGGAATTGTTTTCTTGTTCAAAATGTGTGGGAGATGTTCTTGTGATATGATTTCAATTCCAAACATTTCGCCAAAAATATTGGTGATACTTACCTTTTGAAAATAACAACTAACCTCCTAATCTTTTATATTTTACTACAGATTAATTCTAAATTAAAACATTTAGTGTGAATTTCCCTTTTCAACTATTTTCTCGTGTTCATGCCAAGTATGACAATTAGGATCAGCCATATCATTCTCCTGATTCTTTTGGGCTATCAATCATACTGAAACGCTTGTATATCTGCTTGATGTATACTACTATCGTAACTTGATAATCGGTAACTGCAGTGTAAATACATACTGCTTACTAGTTGAATTAGCACCTACTAGCAGGTATCTTGAGACTCAAATACGGCCGGCTATCTGAACTCATCAGTCCGGAACAACACCAAAACATCGTCGTGGCATTGGGGGCCGATATATTAGCGCTTCACCTAAAACACCTTATCACATCATAAACACTACTTATGTATGCTATACCAATATGATTTCATGTATGCACAAAATAGGTACGATGTGCGCTTTAGAGTTGCTACTTCGAAGCAGTCAACCCGCTAGAACCGAATGTTGATTGTACAACACATCTACCCACCGAAGTTCCTGTCTTAGAGACACCATCTGCTTCTGGCTACGTACCGTGACACCAGAAGCCCGCTGGACGCAGTGCACTGAGTACTCCGTCCCGGGGAAATCGTTGTTTTCACCTAAAGGAATGGCTAGTAGTATTGTCATAAGCTCTGTACAGTGCACTCAGTGAACATGCCACCTAGCGTATTAAAATGACAGCCATGTTTAGTTAAAAGAAAACACCCTGTGTAAATGTATCACAAGCAAATTTATCAGCAAAAGGCTGGCTGGACGTTTTGGCCGACCAGCAAGTACGGTTATCTACCCGATTTATATATAAGGCCACAAAATATATGTAAGCTGCAAGGACAATTGCGGTCGCTCAAACTGCATTGGGAACTACCATCAACGACGAACCTCACCATCAGCATTGAGCCCGCCAGTACATTAACACCCAGCTAACATTTCAGACCACATACCAGTCAGTCAGTAACAACGTAGAACTTCATACTTACGTACATCAGTTCGAATTGCCATACCACATTAGCACAGAGACGCAGTTGTCGATTCAAAACCAGTAGTGGTAGAGGTAGTAAGAGTATAAGCAGTAATCGAAAAGACTAGGGTTTGGAGATGTTATTTAAAGAGTATAACCCAGTGAAATAAATTTGGGAGAACACAAAGATTGTATGCACCTGCGCCATTGCGAACGATTTCGAGCCATATCGTCCAGGGTCTCTAACCATCGGTTGCTATCATCTCGCGGTCCCCAACCAGGTATTCTACACGTACCAACATGACTCAGTCCACCTGTCAGTGACTTCATGGACTTGGGCCATGTTTTGGTCTGGCCGCCCCTAGCTTTCTTCCAACCTACTCCTATACCACTGAACATCACACGTCGACAGACCACATACCGTCTGCAAACAAATGAGGCACAAATACTTTGCTGGAATATCACGCAATTCAACACGCACAAACGGCTTCTTATCACCTAGGACTATTCAAACTATGACTTAACGACCATGAACACGTGACCGTAAGTCAGTTTACAATAGTTTAGGATCCATCGACTGCAAATGTTGCTACCACACAAGAGATAACACTAGACGAGCATGGTATGCGGTAGTCAATACCACTAAGCCGGACACCCGGCCTTACGCGACCCAGCCGTTCTTCGCGCATCACAAAATGACAGCCCACACGAAGACACTTCCAGTACATCGGCAACCGTGCAGCCAGGCTATCTCGTTGGACATCCGTCAGGTTGCAAAGAAACGTCCAGGACAAAGCGAAACCCCCGATTATACAGTCCAGCGTGGACACGCCACTTTTGAGGTTGATCCAATCGAAGTCAAAGTGAGACGCAGTAGACCCCATATATCGGAGCTAGAGGTGAGGGATATTTTGTAACTACGACTCAACCTTACTGATGAGCCAAACTTTGCACTTCTCAGGGATCGAGATAGAAATGTCGCTCAAAAAACACATACCCAAGCCTTTCACGAGAGATAAAATGCAAATTATTACTCTAAAGAAATTTTATCAAGTATCAAAATGCATATTTGATTACGAAAAAAGTCAAACCATACAGCACCAGATATCCACACAAGATGACAGAAGAATGCACATTCTACAGGAAAGTATAATCACCAATGGCTGACGAGTCAGATCTCTGACTTTCTCAAATGGTCTGAACCTTCAAGCAATTGGCAGACGGAAGTAAGTAGATATGAAACAGTAGAAAAGTAATCAAGTTCAGATGGAAAGCCCTGATAGGCAAGAAATGCATCGAAAAGCGCAGAAAGCTAAGGCTGTAAGATCGAATGAAACATGTTGAATATACCCACAGGAACTCTGGATTCAAAAATTGGAGACACCCAAGTTTGACCAGTTAGACGTCGAAACTGAGGAAGGGAAAAAGTTGGTGTACATCCGAAATACCATAAAGACAAGTGACAATCCAATGTGCTGCAAGTTGGATGATTAAACAATTGAGTTGAAACGTAGACATGCATATATGAATGCTGACAGAATACATAGATTTCTAAAATGACATTTCTCAGTATTTGACCAAAGGATTTTAAGCGTCTCGCATATCCGGTGAGCCTAAAATGAGTGAGAAACATGATCAGGGATGAAGCATTAGCACAAAATCACAAGTAGCATTGCCTAGAAAATACTCGTTATCATTATCAGAAACAAAAGCACACCATTGCCGTGCACCAGGCCTTAGTGGCAAGAGAACGAAGTGGCCGGAACCACATAAAAATATCGACAGGACAAATAGACCGAAACAGGCTGACAACTTACCATCCTCGTTATGATAATTATCTCTTCCTCCACGAGGACCACCGCGACCCCGAGATTCGAACCCACCGGATCCCCTAAACCCACGACCACGAGGCCTTCCACGTCCACGGAACCCACGGCCTCTTCCACCACGATCCATAAATTCGTAACCACCTCCATACTGAAGCCGAAAAGAAAGTTAAATCAATATTTGGAAAGAGAATCGATATATTGAAAAGCAATTCCCTGTGAAGGTACAGAAGTCTTAATGCTGTAGCTGATTCCAAATCATATTCAAGTAATCTATATTAAGGGTTAAGTTTGTCCTTAAATGACTGGTGCCGGGGCCTGTACTTTAGCACCATGTGAACGAAATCTAAGCGCATGAGCCTGAAGCCTGGACTGAAGGTTCAAGCTGAGGCAGAAATCACGCTTACTTAACGGGTTTGGATGTACGTCCTGCAGAAGATTATCATTAACGGTCGATATCGTTGAGACGAAGACACAATGTTGACCTGAGTATGTAATGCGGGCTGATGATCTCGATTTGGCATGAATAAAATGGGCAGAAATCGTGAATGTGAACATTATGGGGTTGAGTTTGTAAATGAACGACTGGCACCCACATGAACTTACTTCAAACCAGATGCTAGGCTTCGCCGACTTACCATTTCTGAGCCACCACGGCCACGACCTCGACCCCGAGGACCGTAGTAAGGCACAAAGTCTTGATTGCTAGAGAATCCACCAGGTCCCATCCCACGACCTCTCCCACGCATGTTAAACACTCGCGGGCTGCGTCCACGTCCACGCAAAGCTGCGTACACACTGCCCTAAAAGAGAATAGACACTCAACTCAGTTTACCTTAACAGGTTCACCCCCAGGGCCTGTCACTTCAGATGCTTCGTCGCCCTTGTCCCCCTCAACAACATAAAACTCCACCTCTTCCCCCTCCTGGAGTGAACGCTGAAGCTTTTCTGGATTGTTACGTGAAATCGCCGATTGGTGCACAAATATGTCCGTGGATGTGTCCTGACGGTTGATAAAGCCATATCCAGCCTTCACATTGAACCACTTAACAACGCCTTTGACACGCTCTTCCATCACCTTGCGTGGCGTGTTTTGTTTCTGCTGTTCATCTTTTTCAGCTGGTCTAGTGTCTGCCATTGTGTGTCAGCCCACACTCTGATGGTAATCAAACAATTGGGCACGCCTTTCGAACAATCAACCACGACAATAACTATGTGCCGCTCAAAATGATAGACATTTGCTGCTATTCAATAAAACACAAGGTAAAAGGTTTCGAAGTAAGATTCATCCATTTACACAACTGAGATTTAGAACAGGTACATTGCTCGAATATTACCGTGAATTCGAGTGCATTTTACAGGTGTTCTCATTTAGACCCCGGCTACCAACTGGAATGCACATACATCTGGATAGATCGCATGATACCAGGATTATCCTGCTCCAATCGTCTCGGATTCACTCATATCCTCATTCTTGGGGGCTTTATTCTGACTTCTCAAAAACTTTTGATAGGGTCAACCATATTTATCTTACCATTAAGCTCAATCGATTAGGTGTCAAACCATCTTTAATTGATTGATTCACTTCATATCTAAAAAAATTGACATTTTAAGGTTAGGGTTAACTTCAACTTCTCTTAGGCTATGGAATGTTATAGTGTGATCTCCCACGGTCACGTTCAAGAGCCTCTCCTTCCTTGATTTATGCGAACGATCTTCCACAGCAGGTATCGTCTGAATTATTACTTTTTGCTGATGATGTGAGACTTTGGAGAGAGTGATACGCAGCCAAGAAGATAAACTGACAGTTCAGGAGGATCTGACTCGACTTCAAAGTTGTGCAGATGATGACGGACTTACCTTTAATACTTCAAAGTGTAAAGTAGTCCATCTCAGACATGTTGCGGACTATAGTTACAACTTAGAGGACTCCTCTCTAGAAGTATCTGAAGATGAAAATGATTTAGGAGTGCTGGTACCCTACGATTTGAAGTCTTACGCTGACTGTGACAAAAATGTCTTCCGAGTAAACCTTGCAATGATAACGTTGAGGCGCATTTTCGGTCAGTTCGACAGAGGAAATTTCCACATAATCTTGAACTGTTTTATTTGTCCCCATGTTGTGGAATTTTTCGAGTTCATTCATTTTGCTCCGTATATCACTAGTTGTGGTAAAATTTGCTAGATAACTCCCGATGGTATTTTAATTTTAGAAGGCAATGAGATACGCTGGTTGCGGTTGCATAGTTGGATGTTTTATGTTGTGTTTTACCCTGTCATAATAATACAATACAATTTCATGCTGCGTACCTCAAATCTAAGTTCTTGATTGTGTCCTGCCAAAGCCCTAGACTTATTGAAATCAGCACATTTCGTTATACTGCTTGAAATCAACGATAAGCTTATGAAGAAAACGGCCAACATATACCCCTCGAACAAGTTTGAGGCTGAGTTTTGATTTTACTAGCAAAAACAATAGTTAATATATGATGGGAGGATCGAAAAACTGCATCTGAAATGACCTTCCTCAGTACATACGGAAATGAAGCAAATGTCATTTATTCTTGTAAATGACTCGGTAAAATGTGTCCTAACTATTGTCTGCAGTGATAAATTCCATGGTTTACTTATTCGAACTATATAAACTTTAAGTAAATTATTGTGCGAGCACTTCCGAGTTTTCCCTAAATGAATGTCTTCTTAGGTGTTATCAAGTACTAAATCTTATTAGGGTCCTGTCTGTGTTAACGGGCTTGCAGGTTATGTGATTGATCATGCCCATATCCATCCTAGTCATTTTGCACTGCGCTGATTGCGAAACCACCAGGCGGGCTGGTTAAGATTTATATAACTACTCCATGTGATCTAAATATATGATCTAAGCCATTACATATGCTTCAATCACCGATGTAAGACTGGTTATGTGTAGTAGTCTTCTTATAGAGAGCTATGACAGTAATTTAGGCACTTGAAATTAACATATCCATATTCACTACAAAATACTGTACCCTAATACTCACGGGTAAAACGCAGAAACAGTGCGCTTGCAGCGTGACTGATCATATTAGTGTTAAACCGTGTGAAAACAGTATTCAACAGGGACTCAAAGTCTGTATTGAAAGTAAAAAAATGATGGTAGGGAAGAATTTTTGAGGAAATACCAGTAAAAGGCTACTCAACACTAAGATCGTGGGGTACGGTTTCTCAGTCAAATGCTTGACCTCGAACTTGTTTGATGACCGTTTTTCCACCTGGTTTGTAACAACGGATAAAAATGGTGTTCGTTGGCAATGGATAGAAAAATAAATATACATAGGTGAAATTTAACGAAACCAAATTATGGATAAAGTTAACTGTTGTTTTAGGTAAGACCAAAAATCGAAGTCTGTGAATTACTTCAGACAGTCAGTGCTACCAGATAATCTGGTTTTTCTGCCTTTGAAAACTTCAAGCATTTGTATATTATTTAAGTGACCAAGACCGTTTCAGCGAATGTTTGATATGACAGGCTATATTTTCCATATTTTATGTATTAATCGCAAGCAGAAAACTGAGGCCAAGCTAAGCAGTCAGCACTGGTTTTTAGGATGCTTCTGCCACTAAAGTAACAGAAAACATATCCTAGCATTAGATAGTCTTATCTGGAAAGAGAGGCATTTCGAGTATCGTACGCTGTTGGGGATGCTAGATTTCCAGAAATCACCTGATAAACTCAGTTTTCTAATTTCATCATAGAAATTTGAATTGCTCATTTTCTCAGCAAAAACACCCATTTCACTTTCAGATTGTGTTTCCCATCCAGCAGGACCTAAGATGTAATTGGTTCATTTTCGGTTTCAGTGCGCTATTCCACGGCACTTTTCAAGGACTTTTTGTATTGTGTACATACGCGTGAGTCTTGTGTTCGTTCGCTAGTCCTACTACGTTGCTTGTGGAGTGAATATGTTTTCCGGCTGAATCTGGTCTTTTCTCTCCAGTTGGCAGAGCTGGGTCGCAGTGAAATAGCTTAGCTCGACCCGTTGTTACATTTCTGACTTTAGTCCCGCTCAGTGGTCCTAGGTGATATCCTAATCCCTCAAACATGGCATAGCTAATAACTCGAGGATCTTCACCATTTTTATTGCAGTGTGGAGTATGCTGGAGAGAATTATCCAGGGACTTGGTTAATATTTATGTCATGGTATTCATGGCATTCAAGAAGCAACGTTATCGCTAATTATCAAACAAAAAGTTGGATAAAAGCGAATTTAATCTGTATGCTTTTGTTCTGACCCTTTTTCTCAGACCGGAGGTTCTAGTATGTCCAAGAATAAGATTTTTGTTTATAAAACTCTGATTTGTACGTGATTATAGGGCCAGTAGGATGTCACTTAACCTTGTTTAAATCACCTACCTGGCCGGACCGCTTCTAAATAAGAAGATCAGCCACTTAAGGTTAAACAGCTTGCCAAAGTCGTTAAGGTCTTGGATGTGTCATTCAGATTAAACTAGTGGACTCCATAGATTGGCCCGTGGCAGATCCTTCATTTTCCGTCCTCCTCTACTCTGTTTTCGCCACTAAGCTTTGTTGAGTTGTCATAGTTCTAGTTGTTCAATGGGTTCACTGAAGAAGCCTCATTACCTGGACGCCTTGACAATATGACCCAAGTATTAGCTTAGATGTGTAACTCGGAGGTGATATAGGGGGTCAAACCATTCCCATCCGACCCGAGTAGACCCACTGTCCATAATAGTGATCTATACGACGCTATTTGAGTCCAGGTTACTTCTGCATGATAAAATGATTATATGTTTACTAAAACAGGTTTTACTGTTCCAAAGCCGAGGTAGCTTTTATGAGCTGCACAACCACTCACTGTTCATATGTTTGAGAGAAATATAGACGCTTATACGACTGTGAAGCTTATTCCCAAACTTCGCAAGTTCATATATAATACCAATCGGTTAGTGACCACCAGCATCAATAAATAATAACAATAATAGTGTGGTACGTGCTACTTATACAGATAGATATAAGTAGTATGTATCAGCAACTGGAAGTAGGACTTTTACTGACAGAAGAGAAACACAGGGCAAAGAGAAAAAAACGGAAGCAGTGTTAGCAGCGACAAAAGTGGAAGAACGATAAGTTTGTCAGGGACAATTCAAGAAAAATGTGTAAATGATGTATTCAGTGTATTGCTTTCATATTGTACAGATGCAGTGTACGTTAGTACGTTAGTACATAGTACGTCAGACTAGTTCGCGATGGTAATATCGGCAACTAGAAAGTCCGCTTTTAAAGTTGGAGGACAGAAGAACAAAGGTGAATAGATGTCACTCAAATCCTTCTTTCAGGTATTTTAAACTCATATTTACATATGAGGCTATTCATTTTTTTCCATTATTCGACAAAAGTGCCCTATCTAGTATTTCTGAGTATTTTGCCGTTTGATTAAACAATGAATACTGAATATAAGATAATTATTTTCACTCACAACTTCATTCCAGTCGACTGAAGCAATCTATATCGGTTTTCCGCGTACATGCAATTGTAGTGTATCCCAATTTGCCGGCTGAAAAGCAGACAAAATGAAAAATTGGAGCTTGTTATGGAAACCTCAGCAAAATTTACGTCTTTGTGGACTACTCACCTGCTAAGTGAACGGAAAAATGGCTAAAGATTATCATTATTTCACACATAAGAAGAGTTGAAAAACAGATACATAATCTCTCCGTGCTAGAAAAACGATAAACACTACAACATGGATCATAAGAGAAATCTATGTTTATACTATGCTCAGTTCTGTCTTCACCTCCACTCCATTCATTTAGCCGCGCTAAAGCCAGGCCGTTAATCCAACTGAATTGGGATGCCATTTTCTTCTTTAGTCCTAGGTATGATCATCATAGAGTCGATTTGCTAGTCAACTCACAACGCGGAGTGCATTGCGTCAAGTCCCGAAAACTTGGCATATACGATGAATTAACGCAAAATTGTGAACGTTTACCGTTCGCCAGCCTGAGGGATTTTTGTATCACCCGTGTGAAAACTTTCTACACCGTTCCCTAGATAATCCTATATAATTACAGCCTTGGTTAGATTAGATATACAAAAATGTTGGTATTTAATTAAATATTTTCCAGTGAATCACTATG